ATACATACATACATACATACATACATACATACATACATACATACATATCTTAGATTATCGCCTAGCTGGTTTTGCGCTCACCTTTCTCAAACCTTAGACAGCAATTCTCCGTCCTGGAAATAAAACCCCTTAAACAGAATTATGTCACATTTAGAGTAAACTTTTCTCCACCGTCGGTGTTAAAATATATATATTTTAAAATGTATTTCTACTTCACAGAAGTAGTTGAAAATAAAATGAAATAAAAGGGAGCCCTACACGAGTTTGCGACCTCGGGGTAGCAAAAGAGAAAGAGAGAGAAGGAGAAAGAAAGGAGAAAGAAAGGAGAAAGAGAGAGAGAAATAATTTTATTTTTACGTTTGATATCGCTGCAAAAGAAGAGTAATGGGCGCTTCTGAAGGAACGTAGGCAGGGCAGGAGAAATCGGGTTTTTTGTTTGTTTTTTGTTTTAAAAGACCTTATTCATTAAAATCACTTTAGACGTTTCAAGCAAGGAAAAAGGGACGGAGGAATTATTTCCATAAATCTTGACTTCGTTTGTTGTGTTATAACTTGACCTCCTTTTTAACTTACTTTAAGAGGTTATGAAAAGGTCTTTTTTTCTCTCTCTCTCTCTTTCCCCCTCCGGGAAAGGGAATAAAGAAAACAAGTTGAATTACAGGTGTATCTTACAAAAGGGGAGGGGAGAAAAAGCAAAGATTCTGATCGTGGGCACAAGTCGGCCTCTACTTCTGACAGGATCCGGTTTAAAAAATGTAGATATTAATTTTCCGGCCAGGTGGAAATTCAGCTCAGGCCTCTTTGCAGACATGTGTGCAACTCCCACGTCGTCCCCCCTTAAAAAAAAGCTTGCAGGAGGGACACACGGCTGAACTCTTGAAGTACGGCTACTACTTCCCATAAAAAACAGCCAGGAGTAAGTAGGTGGCTGAAGAGAGTGATTTTCGGCCATCCAAGTTAACCAAGAGGCTTTTTTGAAAAGACAACTGGACTTTCTTTGTTTTTTGTTTTTCCTTGAAGACCTTTTCGCTTCTCATCCCAAGAAGCGCCAGAACGGAAGGAAGCTTCTTGGAATGAGAAGCGAAACCTCTTCAAGGAAAAAAAAAACAAAAAACAAAAGTCCGGTTGTCTTTTGGGGGGAAAAAAACCGCCTTTGAGATGGCTGAAGAGATGGGAGTCCACATTTTAACGCTTGGGAGGTAAAAGGAGAAAGAGGTTTTGCAGCCCCCCCCCATGAGGGTTTGCCGGGTCAGCTCTTCCCTGTTCCTTCCCCCGCCCCCCCCCCCCAAATTAAAAGTCATATCTTTGGGGAAAAGGTGGGATTCAGGATACAGAACTTTTTGCGAAGCAACAGGCAACGGAAAGGGAGAAATTGCCTGCAGGGATGACGAGACGGTTAATACACTACTGTAAAGGCTAAAGGTCTCTCTATTTTTCTCTTCGCCCTCCCGGGCCTCTTTGGATCCGGGCCCGGGGAAGGTCGACCGTGAGGGAAGACCGTGAAGTCTTCCTTCAAAAATCCCCACTCCACCATCATCTTCATCATTATCCCACTCGATCAAGGCGCGCTTAGCAGGGAACAATCTCTTCGCCCCGGGAGGGAGAGAAAAAAAGGGTGAGGGGATCCCAATGTAGATCTCAATGGAACCGGTAGAGAATTGAAGGGCAGGAGTGGTTTTAGTGCCAGTTTCCAACACGTATCTATCACTTCCTTCCTTTCCTTTCCTTTCCTTTCCTTTCCTTTCCTTTCCTTTCCTTTCCTTCCTTCCTTCCCTCCAGCCTTTCCTTCCTTAATCCGTCTTCTTCCTTTCTTCCTCCTTTCCTTTCTCCCTTCTTTCCTTCATTTCCTTCCTTCCTCCCTTCTTTCTTTTCTTCTTTCCTCCCCCTTGTCTCCCTCCTTCCTTCCCTTCCTGCCTCCCTCCCTCTTCCCTTTCTTTCTTTCCTTCCTTCTTTTCTTCTTTCCTCCCCGTCTCCCTCCCTCTTCCCTTCCTTCCTCTCTCTCTCCTTCCTTCCTCCATTCGTCCCTCTCTCCTCTGTCTATCTCCTTCCCTCCCTCCTCCCTCCCTCCCTCCCTCCCAACCACAACCACTTCCAAAGGCCTCTTGCCTTTTAACTGAACGCAGGGAATCTCGCCTTAAACTTGTCCCTGAGTTGGACCGCGTCCCAAACTGTGAGCCTCACATGCTCCGGGAAGGGGGTTGTGGGGTTGTGGGGGTGGGAGGAGGAGGAGAAAAACGGCGAGGCCTTTTTCTTAAGGCCTCCAAAGATTCGGCCCCTGATATTTGCCAGGGTGGAAGTATTTTTGCCTTCCACCCCACCCCACCCCGCCCCGCAAAAAAAGAAAAAGGAAAAAGGAAACCCAGAACCGTCTGAAGGGAACAAAGCGGGGCGCAAGGATCTGTTTGATCCCAACGTCCGGCGTCCCCGAAGGGGGGAACGCCGGTCGGGGTTGGCAGGGGGAACCCTTTTTAAAAAGAAACGCGCTTTTTTTTTTTTTTTTTTTTTTGAAGGAGCTGGGGTGACCGAGAGGAAGGGGGCAGCGTTACCCGCGCAGATCGAGCGAGAAGCGCTCGCTGGAAACGGGGAAGG